GAAATTCATTGAAGATAGAGTTAAAAAAATAGTGGAACTGAAAAAGAAGGTCTGTGGTGATTCAGATAGAGGATTTGTTGTTATTAATCAAAAGGTGAGTGAAAATTAAATTTGTAAGTGAAATTGTCTGCTACATTTTTTTAAGGCGAAAGATACTGAAACTCTTTCTTAATTTTGTTGTAGGGGATTGATCCCTTCTCCTTGGATGCTCTTGCAAAAGAAGGCATCGTAGCTCTGCGTCGGGCGAAGAGGAGAAACATGGAGAGGTACAGGGGGACGCTGGGTGTGTCGTGCTGAGATACTTTGGACATGAATTAAGTTTCTTTTCTCCTGCACTTACGTAATTTTTGTGCATTCATTCAGCGTATTTGGTGGTGCTGGGGATTGAAAGACGTAGGTTGGGGTTGGTGAGGTCTAAAGCACCTACTTAGAACAAGCTTAGCAAAGCACAGGGACTGCGGTTCAATCCCCCAGCACCACATGCCAGCCAGCCCCGCCCCCTGGTGGGCAGAGCTGGGGACACACACACACACACACACACACACACAGAAACACGTAGGTTGATACACTTTAGAATGTAATTTCATGCATAGCTCTGTCTTCTCAGAATGGAATTGGTAATGTTATGTGGCTCCCTTAAAAAGTCTTTCTAATGTTTCAGGCTGACTCTTGCTTGTGGTGGGGTAGCTCTCAATTCCTTGGATGAGCTAACTCCTGACTGTTTGGGACATGCAGGACTGGTTTATGAGTATACTTTGGTAAGTCTGAAAACTAACGGCACTATTCTGTTCATGAGTTCTTTGGTAAATTCAAACTCAGGATCAGAGTTCTCTTTTTCTTTAAGTTTGGTGACTTATTTGTAAAGATAAAAATCCATTGGCAGGAAAATCCTGTTTTGTTTTGTTTTTTTTTTTGCTTTTGAGAGTCTTGGTATGTATTTTAGGCTGGCCTTGAACTTACTAGGACCCTCTTACCTCAGTCTCCCAAATGCTGGGTTTACAAGCATGCGCCTCCATACCCAACTCTCATTTCTTTTCTTTTTTTATTTTTTGATGGATCTGGGGATTGAACTCAGGCCCTTGTGCTTGCCAGGCAAGTGCTTATTCTACTGAGCTATCTCCCCGGCCCTCTCATTTCTTTTATATGTGAAGTTTTTGCTAAAACTTTCTTTAATATCATGTGTTACAAGCCACGAGTGTGCTTAGTTGCTTGATGCACCCCTACCCTGTGTTTACTCTAGAACCATATGCTGTTAATGAAACTTAGTCTTGTGCATGTAGGGAGAAGAGAAATTCACCTTTATTGAGAAATGCAACAATCCCCGCTCTGTCACATTATTGATCAAAGGACCAAATAAGCACACCCTCACTCAAA